TATTTCAAAACAAACGCCCAGGAAGAAAACAACTACAATACTCAGAATCTCAAGCACTCCAGCGGGAGATGATGCACAGCCTCTGAGGGGTGTGAAAGAGCTCTGCCGAGTACCCACTTGTCAGTAAGTGTTCACTCCTAGCTACAAGTTGAGGCCATTTCCTTAAATCTACCTTCACATCTCCATGGTAGTTAGGTTGGCTTTTATTCAAAACAAGCACTAAGGGCACAGCTGCACTTCGGTCAGCCTTAAAGGAGAGAGGTGTTAAAAAACACACCTACAAAATCTCCAGGCTTTATGCAAGCCTTGGGAGCACCCTTTAACTGCGGCAGTGCATTCACGAAGCACTATCTTTACTACCAATAACTATGAATTTTGAGTGAATTACAGGAACATAAGACATTCTTTAAACATTTACTGCTAGAAGTTCACATATACAATGCGAAAGAAACTAGGAACAAATAAATAGGTTAATGAATGCAAATTGAAATAGCAAAAAAGAAGGTAAGGTCTCATAAAAAAAATAAATCCCTGGCTTTTGTCCCCCTGGTAAAAATTTATTCAGAGATGTAAACCCAAAGCAAGCAATATTTTGGAAAAAAATAACTATGAAAAATAAACATACACTGAAGATGTTTCAGTCTGTTATGCTAAGCAGACTAAAAACATATTCAGGTTGTGGTTAGACACAGACTTTTTTTTCCCCCCATCAAACACTAAACAGGTCTTTCAAAATACCAGTAAAACATGAGCTCAATTCAAAGCAGGTATCCCTGTGAGCTAGTTACCCACGCATTTTTCAAGCCAGTCTACAGATTTAAGCTGCAACATTCACAGAAATTATTCTGAATTCTTTGATCAAATGCATTTCAAAACTCTGCAGAACCAGTCCAGTTTCGTATTTTTACTGGATGCTCAGATCTGCCTGGGAGCATGTTCTGACCGGACACCTGTGGAATGCTCCAGCAGCAGACGGTACAAGATAAGAAATTCCCTGAACTGACAGAAAATATTTCTATCATATCTGTGCATACAGATAAGTATTTTGATTTAGAAGGGATCATCCTTTGTCTCAGGAAGGTGGCAGTGCCTGGGAAGCCTGCAGTGTGTCCCCAGGTCAAACAGAGCAACTGTTGTTCCAGCAATGTGCTGCAAATCAAGAACGCTATTGCTTCAAATCACCCATTTTCTCCTGGTTCAAAAGCAAACACCTGCCTCCCTCCAAAAACTTCACACCTTGAATCCGCAGGCCCCAAAAGCAAAATACATCTTACAGACAACATTTTAAAAATTAAACAACAATCGATGTGGCACAGGAGGCTGGAATCAAAATCCCATCTCTGCTCTGTCTCCAATACATCAGTTAACAATCTGCGCCCTACCAGCTCTACAGATCACGTCACTGCTATTTATTTCATTCTCCGGTTACCTCTACCCCGGCATTTGATCCGGTTTATTAAAATCTGGCATATCAGCATACCTGAAGAATAGAGCTGGACAGGAAGACTGCACCAGGATCTAGGAGAGCCGTGCTGTTCCCGTGACAAGCTCGCAACATTAGTCAAGACTTTCCACCTCCTACACCCACATTTTCTCTCCCATTCTTGGTATGTTCAAACAGATGCAGCAGTTACCAAGTAAATATCCCTGCCTCGATGCAGGTCCCTGCATCTTACAGGAATTGATGATTATCCTGAGAGTTTTGTGATTCCATCTTGTTATGCACTATCTGTTCTGCTCCGTTTCCCCATCTCCACCATTTACAAAGATTAAACTGAATTAATTTACATATTTTGGGGTTGGGTTTTTGGGGGGATGAATTATGAAACAGTTCCCTTGGGATTAAGCTAAAGCACATATTCAGGTTTCTGAGCAGGCTGCATTGTGAATTTGCTGCACTCTGATGTCATCCCCCACTGCCTTCAACAGTATCTCTGAACGGCCATCAAAGCTGTAGGCCAAATGCCCAGTGCCATCAAAATCTGCTGCCATGCACAAGTCCTATTATATGACAGTAGGATCTGGAATACTTCAGAAGCAGCATTCCCCATCACTGGGAGTAGCAAAATCTAACTCATATAATGTACCTGTCATGCTTAGTACCTACAGAGGATTACAAGTAAGTAACATAAGTCATGAGCGGTGATAGCCCCCATCAGAATAAATATTCAGGAAAGTCATCTTCAAAATACAGTATATTCAAAACAGCCTATGGGACCCATTAACCTTATGGGAAGGAATCCTAAGGATTCCTTGATGCAATACAAAAGCAAGTAGTACAACCAGGAAAGGAACAGCCTCCAAATGTGAGCTCCTCCATCTTACAGTCTATCAGAGAAGTGCTATTCAAACTTCTTTGTATTTAATGACACTACCCACACCGATTCAATAGGGACACCAGGAAAAATGCCTGTTTCTGAAGCTACTACAGTTCGCCAGCAGCCCATTCTGAATACCAAACAAAAATTATCCAGGAAGCCACTGAAACTAACAAAAACTATTGGCAAAGGAAGCATAAATATACAACAAAAAGGACTTGGTGCTGGTTTTAAACTAACAGTAATAGGTGTCATTGATTTATGAGGTCCAGTGTCATGCAACAGGCTTGAAAAGTTCCTTCACCAGAGAGGTCCCACAGAAGTATACTCATACATTGTTTGATACAGACCTTGAATGCTGAACACACACCATACAACAACGAGACAGTATATTAATATGTAAATTTTATCACAAAAAGATGAGATCTCCATTAGAAAGAAAAATAACGCGAAATCTAATGAGTTTTGGTTAAAAAATGCAGTGACAGAAGCGATTTTTGCAATGATTTCTTCTGCATTTAAGAATACCAGTATTTCTTTCTGTTCATTAACTGTTCCTCTCTTATTTTTTCCCTGGTATAAACCAAAAACAAATAACAAAGCTTAATGAAAGCTACCTATAATTTGTTACTGTATTTTCAGATACTTAATCTCTACATTATTTTCCTTTCAGCTATTAGCGGCAACATCAGACAGGATGTATTCTTCAGCAGTACCCAGAATTATGACTACATACAAAATCCATAAAGCCAGCATAATACAAACTTTTACTTTGCAGAATTGCCTAGAGTTATTTTTCTTTTTTTAAACTGCAACACACTGGGCGTAATTCAGCCAAAAGGAGTGAATACATAGGAGATTTACTGAGAAAAATCTGAGACTTTACTCAGAAGACTGCGACTTAACATCATTACTGAAATTGAAGCATAAGGAAAAAATGGGCGATAGTGACAAACAGGAACAAAAATTAATTGAGATACTTGATAAAGTGAATAACTATACTGACTGCTGTGATGTCTGGACAATAAAAGGATGCTCTAGATGTTCAAAACCAGCAATGCCCTTCATTTACAACCCGAACATCACATGCGAGACAAGATCGCTCTCCAGACAGTTGTTACTTAACTCGTGCCAGAAGATGGTAATTTCATTACAAAGCAAACTGCGATTCTTGGATTCCTTCCAAGAATTTCAAAGCGAGAAGGGCAGAAAATAACACACCTACAGAAAGCACCGTTCAATAAATCTTCTTAACTTAAAAAAGTTCTCGGGTGCGCACCCAGGCAGCGTCACCGGCACCGCGGGAGCGCCCGCACGTCTCCCCGGGTCCGGGCTCCGCGCAGCGCACCGGGGCAGGGCCGGGCACCGCCGGCAGCCCCGCGGTGCGGGGAGAGCCCCGAGCCCGCCCGGCCGCGCTCCCGCCGGGCCGGACCCGCACCGCGGCTCCCGCTCTGCTTTGTCATCCCCCCGCCGCAGCGGGCGAGACGCTCACACCGCCGCTCCCGCAGACCCGACACCGAGCGCCCGGCGGGACTGTCCGAGCGCCCGCGGGCTCCCCTCGCCCCGCGCGGCTCCTCCGGTGGCGGCACCGGCGCGAAGGGACCCGCGGCGGGATCCGCCGGGACCCGCGTCCCGACCCGCACCCGCGGGTTGAGGTGACCCCGGAGAGAGGCGCCGGGCGGCGGCGGCAGCTCCTCCTCACAAACAACTTGCCTTGGGTTTGTAGAGCCACTTTCTGAACCTGTTCATCATCACCGCGGCCACTGACACCCCGCCGCCGCCGCTGCCACGGGGGGTGCCGGCTGCCCGCCCGAGCCGCTCGGGGGACCGGGGGCGAGCCCTGCCCCTCTCCGGGAGGCTCCGCCGGATGGCCTCCTGCTGTTTGGCCGCTCCTGGCGCGGCGGCGGCCGCGGGCGCTCCCTCAGCGCAGGGACCGAGCGGCGTCTCCGCGCGCTCCGCGCCGCCCCGACCGCCCCCAAAACATTGCGCGGCCGGCGACAGCGCCACCCCCGCCGCGCATGCGCGGCACCGCCCCCGCGCCCTCCCCTCCCCACCCAATCGGGTGGTGACCCCGCCCACCAGGCCGCTCATTTGCGTAACACGCCGCGGGGGACGGGCGGGTGGTGCGCTCCGCGGGCCACGCCCTGGCGCGGGGGATGCTGGGACTCGCAGTCCCTTGCCGTCTCTTGTAGTCTTCTCTGTGGGCTGGTCTGCGCGCGTCCGCTCGGGGGATCGTAGATTCTGTTCGTGCCCACTGGCGCTGCCCATACACCGGCAACTGGCGGCTGACCTGCCACTGGCTGCTTGTGAGCGCAAACACCGGGGAGGCGCGAAACGAGCCTCTTGGCAACGGCGGCAAACAAACGCCGCCATCTTGTTTCCCCCGCGCGGGTAGTTCCGCGCCCCCGGTCGCGCCGTCCCGCAGCGCTGAGGGGGGGGCGCGGCAGGACTACAGCGCCCAGCATCCCTCGCGCGCCCCTGGCAACGGTGCGAGCCGCTGAGGGCAACTGGGAACGCGACTGGGAGCGCCGGGAACAGCCAGGGACGGGACAGGGAGCACGGGGGGAGCCGGGAACGGGAGCGCAGGGTTCGGCCAGGGACGGGACAGGGAGCACCGAGAAGAGCTAGGGACGGGACAGAGAGCACCGCGGGCAGCGGGCACCGCTGGAGCGCCGAGAGCAGCGGGAACAGCCAGGGACAGGACAGGGAGCAGCGGGGGCAGCTTGGAGCGCCGGTGCAGGGCAGCTGTGGCCGTACGTGACCCCTCCGGAAAGAAAAGCGGGTACAGTCCCTGATGTGTGAGAGTGACGGGAGCTCTGGGCAGTGTCATGGCTCCTTCACTTGTTTATTATCATGTAATCACAGATTCACAGAATGGTTTGAGTTCGAAGGGACCTTTAAGCCCATCCAGCCCAGCCCATGGGCAGGGACACCTTCCACTACACCAGGTTGCTCCAAGCCCCATTCAACCTGGCCTTGGACACTTCCAGGGATGGAGCAGCCACAGCTTCTCTGGGCAACCTGTGCCAGTGCCCTCACCACCCTCACATTAAAGAATTTCTCCCTAATATCTAAGCTAAACCTGCCCTTTTTCAGTATTCATTTTTATTATGTTTTCATAAATGCAATAGAAAAGATAAATGGGGACTGTGTTACTCTGTGGAGGGGGTTGCTCTGCTATCTGAGATTTTGGGCAAGTAGCAAACCTTGGTGTCCATTTGCTGACCCACCTTATAAATATACAACTTCTTTGTAAAAAGGTTTTGTACAATGAATATTTAATTGTTAAGTGCTACAAGAAAATAGTTTAAAAATGCTCATATCAAGTAAACCACCTTCAATAAGTATGCAAAACATTGACATTCATGCAAATTGAAATTAAGATCTGGACTATAGATACTCGGGGTGAACGTTTTCCATCTGATGCCTTGCTTCCTTAAGGGAAGAATGTGCTAAAAAGAGGACCTGTGCCCAGAACTACTCTGAGTGACACTCAGCAAAGCAGAAAAGTCCAGAGTAAATGAGAATGTCAGGATGTAAATACTTGGCAACTGTACCCTGTATGAAAAACATTGGGACAGTCGTACCCTGTATTAGTGGCCCTGTTTCTAGCACACAGCTGAGGAACACCTCATTCCATTTTGAGCAGTAGCTGCTTGATCTGACTGAATTTTGCAGGGAGGCTTGGTTCAGCTCTTTTTAAGGACAGCTTTCATCAGAGGAAATGCAATCGCAGTCTTTCTAGGCCAGGAACGTAGGAGCGAATGTAAAACCTGAAGGAATCTTTCAGGTCATTGAAACCAGTCCCTACAATTGTGGATAATCTTATCCTATGTAATTGCTTTCAAAATATCTCCAAGCTCCATTGTAAGAAAAGAGTAAGTCAGATTCTCACCACCCTTTAGCTGAAATCTACAGCTGATGATGAAAGAAAATTTCTACCATTTTATACCCAGTATAAATTTATATCATTTTTATACATACCAATTAGAGTATTCTCCTAAACAACTGTGTGGAAATGAGGGTGCATGTCATACCAAAAGCATTTTATTCCCAATGTGTATGTTTTAAAACATCAACAATAATAATAGCAGCATGTTTAAATACAAGTGAAATGCTGTTAAGAACTCCTGTATGTCCAGAGATCTCAAGGCATTACTACGTCTTAGTTTTCGTATTCCAGTTTTTGGTTTTAATTATTGTTATTTGGGGTGAGGGGTGACTATCAGCATGTACAGAGCATGAGAGCTCAAATTTCTTTCTGCTGTGCCAGAAGAAAAATATTTGTCACTGTTAGATCTGTTGGAGCCTGAATTACGATTCAGCCTGAAGTACAGAGGTATTTCTCTCTCGCTCATCCAGAATCCCTTGTGAGTGTAAGAACCTTGGCAGGTTCTTACCTGAGAAACAAATGATTCTCAGAGGAGTGGAGAAACAGCAACTCCCCTGTGACAGAGAAACAGTAGTGCCTCTTTCTGTATTTGCCATCCCTTGTCATGTTCCAGCTCTGTTTTGAGGGACTTTTTTTTTAATTGGACATTTTGTCTTGATCATACCAAGTAACTGAATGCCTGTATTGAACATAATCACAGACAAACTCTTTTTTCAGCACTTTAGTAATTAGAAGTGCTATTTAGGCAGTTTTTATTGAGTATGCTGAAAGGCAGAGTACAGAACCACTGTATCTGGAAATGTTATGATATCATTTTAAAGCAAGAAATTAATTATGTTTACCACAGTGGGAATTCATCATCTTGATCAAGCATTCTTTTCTGGCATCAAAATATGATGATATATAAAATACAAGAGCTATTTTCAAAAGCATATTTTATTTTCACCACTGAAAATTACTTTTGTGCTCATTTTTTTTTTCCCATTGCTAAACCAGATTAATGACTTTCAGGCCTGATCATTGCTATCATTGGTCTTTCATACAGCACCACATGTGCATGAGTAGGAACGAATGCATTGTGTTCTTGCCATGTGAACATTAAAATCAAGGTAACCACTCCTACGAATTCTCAGACGTATGAGTAAGACATCATTTGAGATGGACAGAATGCAGTCATTTCACAAACAAAGCATCAAATATAACAAGCACCCACCTGCTGAGCCTTCAGAAGCCTTGACAGTGACCCAGACAACTGATGTGACTGTGGCCAGTTACTGACCAACACCGTCTCATTGCTTCCTTATAATTTCTCTGTCATCCTGTTCTCTTGTTTTGGAAAAATAGGCTGTTAACAGCAATATGTGATGAGATTTAAGACTAAAATTTTGCTTTCTGTTGCATCTCACTGGGAAGAATAGTGTGTTAAATAGGACCTGTATGGCACACAGGCAAAAATTCATACTTTTCTCTAGTATTACCTTTAGTTATATTTTGTCAAATAGCCTGGCACAGGTTATTTTTGTCAAATATCTAACCATTTAGGTATCATCCTAAAGATATTTTAAGATGTTTACAGAATAAGAAATATGTAATTTTGTTGAAATATGTAAGAAATATGTATTTTTTTAATTGATGTTTGTACTGTATTTTCCTTTCTCCTGTTAGCTGTTCTGAGTAACTGTGCTTTTGAAAGCTTGACCTAAATGTTCTCTTCTATGTTACTGCAGTATCTTCTGTATGAGCCTATCAGCATACATTATACCACAACTGAAAGGGACATGAAAAATTAAAGATTTTCTGTATTTATAGGATTCTCCATGGTGAAGATGGTCAGACATAGAGAAATTATTGCAGTAATTGTGCAACAGCTTGACAAGTTTAACCCTGAAAATCAGAACGTGGAGGATTTCTTGAATGAATCAGCTGTGATGTTGCAGGTACATTAAGTGTCAGTTCATCTTACATAGCCTACTTTGTTTTACTATGTGATTTAAAATATAAAGATGTCTCTTTTCTAACATGTTGTTGTAACTTCCATTAATTTTTCTTACAGTGACATTTTTCATTCATGAGTAAAGTCCAAATTTCTTACAGTTATCACCAAAAAATAAGGCAGTAAAGATCAGAGTGGTTAAAAAACTGCTTGGATAAAAACAAAAAAACAGGAAGGCAACAACCTTCTAAAATGGATCTGACAGTGATAGAGAAAACTTCTGTTCCACTTCTGACTAAGCTGTTCTGTAGTTTCTTATTCCTTTCTTCCTTCCACATAGAAGGTTCCAACAACCCCACCCATTTGTATGTACGAATGCAGTTCAGAAGCTGACTCACTCTTGCTTTGAGGACATAAGTGACCATCAGAACAGTGGCACAGAAGGAAAGTGGCAGTAAATCAACTACCTGATTCTAATCGAATACTGCAAGTAACCAGACCACGATTTTCCAATATGTAGCTATAGTGGCTGAAGCAGTTCCCATCCTTTCCTGACCATAGTCTGTCACCTCTTCCCATCTCTTTATCCCCAGTGTCGCCCTGACTTGTGCTGAGGCAGCTACTGGATTGAATCAGCTTTAGAAAATCACTAAGGGAAGGCAGTGATATTGTTTAGACTGCCATGTGTTATCAAATGACATTGTTGGAGCTCTGATTCCACACTGCCATGTAGCTCCAGTACTCATTTCCACTTCTGACAATAAGGTCTAAACCATTTCTATTCTTGTTAGATGGTCTGTTGCATTGATTTTGCATAAACACAAATGAGTACAGGAATATAAAATTATGAAGGTGTGATGTGAAAACCAGAGGCTGAGACAATGGCTCTGTACACATTCCTTGGGTTCTTGCTTTCTTAAACAGTTTTCACTCAGACCCCTTGTTTCTGCCTCTGCCTTCCTGCCTTGTAGTACTGCCATAACCCTTTGTGCATTCATATGCTGAATTACATCAGGGAACTGATCGAGTTTCAAAATAATCCTTTTTTCACTGGGCTGAGAGCAGGTAAATTCAGCTACCATTGCTGCCAAAGTAAACACTTGTAAAAATGAATCTTCAGATCATTGCTCTTCTCGGCCGAGGAAAGGTGGTACAAAGACAAAAGAAGCAGTAACTCCATTACAGAAACATGAATCTAAAGTTTCATAAAAAATCCTTTTAAAAGGGGAAGAAAAAGGAGGATAGCTGATGCCAAAGTTAAGGCCAAAATCTTTTTCTAGGATAGTTTCAGGTCACTTACTACTACATAATAATCCAAGAAAGTAAAAAGTAATATATGTGTTTATATAAAATTCATCTTTATTTCAGTACCAAATGGGTGATTATAATTCATCATGAAAAATTCCCTTCTTTCTTTTCTGTTTCATAATAGGCATATGATCCTGAAAATATTGCAGCATTTTTGTACACATGATTTCCAGGCTTGACCGCCTACCAACTAGCCAGTATTAACTGACCCATGCAGAAACTTCCTTCAGTTTGTATCCTGAATGATGCCATCACTCTAAATCACAGACTTGATCCGTGCCTGTACGCCCCATGCCAGCAGCCTGACAAATAGCAAACCTCATGGTGTGTACTGACCAGACAAAAATCAGGAGGGTTAGATTCCAAGAGCACAAATCTAAATAATTGCAAGACACAGCTCTATGTTTATTTATTTATTGATTAGATATGCAGTATATCAGACTTTTCTACAAGTTGCTGTCTTCTGTTCTGTTAGACTTTTCTAATTGGTTAGTAGTTTTCCATCCCCTAAAAGTGCAGTCAGGTTCCAGTCACTGTCAACACTGTATGTTTCATTCATACTGCAGATCTTTATTGTATTTGGATGTATTTGCGTCCATCTAATGTGATATCTGAGGTGTCTTGTTTAGTTCTTTGATAACCTGTTGATGTTCCACATAAAATATACTCCTTAGCCTATTGTCTAGCTTTCTGGGGTTTTTCCTGGTGAAAACAACAATTTTGGGCTAGATTATTTCCCTCAAAATAAAAACACAGTACACACAGTCATTCCAAAATATGTTCAAGAGAGTTCAGTACCCCACTAGCAGGGGCTGTAGGAGCCCCTGTGATGTCAGTCGTGTTAAGAGTCAGATCCTGGAAATAAGTGCCTCTGACAGCCACACATTCTCACCTGAACTGCAAGGAGCAAAGGACATTTTGCAGAGCAAAACCTTTGTCAGAATAAAGTAGGTTTTAAGAGCAATATAAATGTATGTATGATTGAAAGTAAACAAAATTACTTCTTTGGAAATCTAATAAATGAAATGAGGAGATGGCCATCCTTGGCTGATCAGAAATGGGGGATGACATCAGTAAAAAGTAAGAAATTATAGGCAGAACGGAACTGAGTTGTGAAGCATCTTAACAGGCAGCTTCAGTTCTATGTGCTAGAATCAACTGTGAGATGGTAGATGGAGTAAGTGGGTCAAATCAATGGACTAGCAGAACAAACTTAACAATAGCATTCCAGATGGTTGATTCACTAAAGACTGGGTTAGTTCAACTCAGGAAAGAGATGTTTATTGCAACAAAATAGAATATTTTGAGACACTACCTTAGATTTTTAGCTATGAAGCAATAGGAAAATACTACTTGAAACCTACTGCTCAAAAAGAGTGAAGAAGATGTGCACGTAAACTGGTTATGATATCCAGGGGAGTAATCTGTGTGAAAAATGACCTCTGAGGTTATGAGCTTGACTGACAAGCAGGGTGGCAATAGTACCAATAAATGAGGAAAGAAGTAGCAGGAGAGTGCTGAAGTTTTGTCTTCACATTGTTGAAATTGAGCTGACAACAATAACAAGGAAATGTCACAGAGAGAGGCCAGCATCCTTGACTGAAGTGTAGGCTTCTTATTTGTGTACATGATAAATGTGAATATGTTATGAAAGGAAGCTGGATGTAGTCCTAAGGGAGTGAGTCTGGAAGGCACAATCTGTCTTGATCCAAATATCCCTGTCATCCATCTACCAGCGGCATAAGACCATTCTTGTGGGAATCCTTGCAAATTAAGGCAGTAAAAATGGCTGTTCAAGGGATGCACAGGAAGAGAAGTGAAAGTAGGAAAGCAAATATATTTTATAAAGAAGGACTGTACATATGAATATATAAAAAAAGAAAGAGCCATAAAATACAATGGGTTGAAGCCGTAGGGTGACAATATGCTTGCTTTGCAAATGACAGTAAGAAGGAACTTGTAGATTTCCATATTAGATCTTTTACTAACTAATACAATTGGTCTTTGTTGAAAGGTGACACAATCCAGAGCTTTGCATAGTCACTCTTCAGCAAGATTTTCTTTTTTTACTTCTAGATGTATGTAAGGTTAGGGATATAAGTAAAACAAAAGCCAAAATACATGATTGTGTGAAATAATATATTTTGCTCTTCCATTAAGACTGTGTAGAAATTGTTATGTTTTGGCAGTGCACAATGGCTGTACTGTAGAGGTTTGGAATACTCTGCTAGCCAAATATTGGGTGGATGGAATCAAAAGGTAAACTGAGTTCTGTTCCAAGCTCTGTCATCTTTCTGTCCCTGTCCTTTCTCTTACCCTCGGGTTTGCCTGCTCAGGTCTCTTTATTTAACCTGTCCCAGTTCCAACTCTTCAAGTGGTTAATTCCACTGCTATTGTCACTGTGCAGCAAGCCCTGCTTGCTCTTTGGTCTTGTTCCACTCATCTCAAAGTTCTTGCACATTCAGTTCCAGTCTCTACTGTTCCTAAATCCAGTAAGAAATATCTCTCTTTAAACTGCAGCCCACAAGAGGCAGATGTGACAGAGCAGGTAGGTGAGACAGGCTCTCTTCTATCAGTGTGAGCTCCCAGACTGACCCAGCACAGCTTGTCCCAGGCTCATCCTGTACTGTAGTGAAAGCTCTGCTTGCCCTGGGCTAGGCACAGTCAGGGCACACAGAATTTTCAGGGGAATTCACTGCTACAGTATAAATTCACACTAAACACATGCAAATGGGTGTTTTTTACTTGACAAAATGTGCATGGATTTTCATAAGAAAACTATATGGCCAAATTTGTAAGGCACTGCTGACCCCTGTGTGCCACTTTGAAAATACATTCCTAGCTGTTTCTCTGCATTTGATTTGAAACTGCTTAATATTTCCAAATAGTCAGTTAAAACCCTGAAAATTTGACAACTTTCTGTCAAAAATCAGTTACATGTATCAGGCCATATGAGTTACTCTGGTCTTACTGCTCTTGAATAACATGGGAGGGTATCCATTAACTTCAAGAGAAGCAGAAGCGGCCTCTTGATTATTATTATTTCTATTTCTTAATGCATCTTTGTAATTCTGTTCAGTGTCCCACCTGCACATATTCTCATTGTAGGAAATCTCGTCTCAAGCTTTGAGACAGAAACCTCTTCTGCAAACATTTGAGTGTACACTCTGCTTCTGAGTATATTCCGGAGAGACTGTCCGAAGTCAGAAGCATTACCCTGTACATATGTTGGTGTACATGAGATAAGTAGTTTGCTGTCTTTATTTATAGAGGAAAGATGGCATTAGATACTGCTATCAAGAGGTATGTTTTTTTCCTAGCTGTATGTGGGATTTAGCTTTACACAGTCCATTTACAGAAACGACGGCTGCGTGTCTAATCCCCGTGTACTGCTTTGAAAAATCACCCATCTTGCCCTGCATTTATGTAAGTGAGGTAGATCAAGCAGACACCATATCAAATAACTGTTGGGATACGTTTTTCTTTTTCACTCATTGCTCTTTGCCACCACCCAGTGATTCAATATACAAATAGGAAATCAGAAAGTTAGTGCTAAAGGAACAGAAAGTGAACTTTAAAGAGCGGTAAACCATTACTCTGGCAGTAGTTCAGGTCAGTCTGAACCACTGTATGTCTAAAGAAAATGTTCTTTTAGTATGATGGAAATGTATAAAAGAATTGCTGAGTGGCAGGTAG